GCGCAGCCTTTGAAGGGTCACCACCACGTCGCGCCGCTTCCGGTCGTCCGGAACGACTTAGCACCGTGCGCGAAACGTCATGTTTGCCAACAAATACACCGCCGATTTGAGTCCTTTAGAAGGCCGACAACACCGTATTAACAGCTATGTACTGACGATATTACAAGTAGTTAAGTAGAGACTCTTCCTGAGGTTACTTCCTTCTTCTATTTGGGGCTCCAATCCACCCGTGCACCGTGAACATTTAAAATAGTGTTTCTTTTGAAGATTACTTGGTTGCCGCTAGATAGCTCTTGTGGTGAAGCATACATTGAAATGGTATAAAAGTTCTGAGTAAAAAGAAATCGCTCCGAGCGAGGGAGGCCCATTGGACAACATGCGGGACAGGAACAAATGGAGCTCGCTCGAAGAATTCCCTGATCAACGCGAGGATGATCCCAGACCAGAACGTTCGCGAAAACTTGAGCAGCATTTGTTGAAGCAAGCGATGCTCAGAAGTAGGAAGGTCCCACCAATGTTCCTTTAAAAAAGATTGGAAAGTGGAAAACTAATAGCCTGCATTTCACAGATCGTAATAAAAGCTTGGGATCTCGTAAGCCTGTGTTCCGATCAGCTTTTCACCCAAGGATGGTGATCATTTTATTAGAATGGAGGGAGACAGGCATAGTTGGCCTGAACGGAGTTCGTTCTACAGACTCGTATGACCGAGGGGAACGATTACTTACACCGAGTTGTCATTTCTGTGAGTTAGCTCATGACAAGTAGGCTAACTTGCTAAATTACCTGAGTTACTCACTGGTCAATCAACAAGTACGTGATTGAGTAAGATAAGGAGTGTGTGCATGTGAACTTTTGAGTAGGATAGAGGAGGGCCTTAAGGTCAGGGATCACCATGAACCTTCCTTACCGTCTATCTCCGCTTGGAATATAAAAAATAATTAATAAGGCTGCGCATTAAGTATAGTTGGTGAGGTCATGACAACAATTATGTTCTGCAGCGTAATCAAAAAGTTTTGAAGGGATTATGACGATATGAGCAAGTCTCCAAGGCACTGAGTATGACCAGATGAAGGAATCGAACTTTCGAGATTGGCGGAAGTTCCCCAACGCAACTTCAGCAGAGAGTGCTTCTTGATAGTCGATAATCTTTCAGGATATTTTTGATGTCTCTAGAAGCAGTGAATATTGTACTTCTCGAATCATGCTATCACTTCCCACAAAGTCGATTTTTAATAGATGAATTTCATCAAATGATGGGGAAGTTGTATATATAATAGATTCAATTCCCTCTTTACCAAGAGCGAATCTTAACTGGGTACCTTTTGAAGGAACTCGCTGTTGTCAGAGGAAGAAATTCAACACCGTTCAATCGCTTATTTTTCCTGGAAAGGTCATGAATGAAGAAGGTTATAGTCGTCCACAAAGTCTACATCGCGATTTTAGTTCGATTGTGTCTCGCCTCATTCTAATACTGGAATCAAGCAGGCTGTGGTCAGTTGGGGAAACCCTTACCGACGAGTACCACTTGTTCAACGAAAGTTGCGTGACTGTCCACATTTCAGTGTTAGCTTACGTACAGTAGCTGCACTGCTGCATCGGCGCTTGTTAATCGCTCAACCAAATACGGAAGAAGCCGTGCGGAGGGGACACACGGGGCAAGAAGCATTCAGAGACACGACCTGTCTGTTAGCTCAAATCTCTGCATTAACCTGGCCGCTGGTTGAGGTCAGACTTAATAAACATGATCTATCAACATAACAGTACAGATTACCGTTGATTCCGTCGAGGCAAGCTTACACGTCCTATGTACCTAGCAATTCCCTTATAAGTCAACTAGATCCTATATTATCCAAAGTTCGTTGATCTTATTTCTTTTTCGGCAAGGTAGAAAGCTGGATTCAATGACTTAACTCAAATAAACCACGAATAGTACTTTAGTATGGTAAAGTGGAAAATACCTATGTTAGTTTCATGATATTATAAAGCTAAAATCGCTTTGAATAGAGGAATATGCATTACCCAATGAATGATTAATCAGAAGTTACGGCGTTCTTATAGAGAAGGTGTAATATATATTGGGTGTACTTGATCATCCCAAACACTATTTGAGGATTNACTTCTATAAGGACGTCCCCCGTACTATGTAAGTATTAATAATAATACTTCGTTAGGTAGAAGGTTTTGTAGGGATGAGGCCTTTTTGTGTTGATCGGTTCCTCAGAAATTACGGCATTCATCATGGGGAGCTATCGCTGCTGGAAAGAATTCGGTTTTTCGTTCAGTACAATACAGAAGAGTTTCCCCACCTGTGGCGACTGTCTGGGAGATGATGTTCAGTCCTACAGGCCGTTTAGTACTTTTAAAACTCGGAAAAGAAACAGTATGGAATACGAAAAAGTGAGTTGGCGAGTGACTATCTATCTATAACTTCTTCAACTTCAAACTTTCATGGAGTAAATTCAAGGCAAATTAACCTCAATCGATAACCTATCCGCACATATCTCAACGTTTGGTGGATGAGATTTTCGGTATTCGAGACGAATCATTGAGACAGTGTTTGCTGCTCCCACCATACTGCGCGATGAGGAGCCTTTCCATACATTCCTGGCAAACAGTTAGTCCATACAAAACTGCTTGATACGATTTGATTATTATACGTAATCGGTAAAAATTCAGGGCAAAGGATTAGCGTTGGGATACCTACTTTTGCAAGATCTCGGAAAAATCACCTCGTTTTACTGGAAACCTTTCCTTTAGTCAGGTCAGCTTGTTACTATGCTATACTCGGCGTGTTCTGTAATGAAAATAGCCTCGACAAAATGCTTTCAGCGAGATGGCCTAGTAAGCAACGCTGACTCACTTTTCCAGTGGTGTGTTGCTCACCTCTGTACTCGGTGATGAACACGCTTACTACTTTGTATGTCTTGTGCGATCTGACCTTGTAGAAGTAGTGTGGTATTGCCCTTACGAGGGCACTAAATAAATAAATAACATCTGAATAACAATAGCATAATAACATTAATAACAGCAGGCGGGGTTTTGTACAACCCCCAGTGTTAAAATGGAGGTACAGCGCTGCAGGGGTTGAGCACACTGTACAGTGTAGGAGGTGGCATAAGAGCGCTCCTTCTCGAAGAAGATTGACTGGCGTATAGGAACTAACTAAGTCGATGCACTGTAAATACAGTAAATAGTACAGTAGGTAAGCCAATGATTACAATACTACCTCTAAAGACGAGAACTAACAAAGAAAGCCTTGCCCTGGGAATTATTAGGATGGATTGCAGTGACATCTCAAAAAACAGTCATCAATAATCTCGATTCGTCGAGTTACTGATATCTAAAAAAGGCTTCCCCACGTTTACAACCGGAGTCCTCCCCATTCCTGAGGAATTACTAACAAATTTGACCCCTTGACCCGATAAACAGTACGTAAAAGGCGTGGCTGGCTGCTTACTTGGAAAGGCGGAGCCAAAGACGGAAGCGCACTGGCTCGCTGGTCAGTGAAGCGCGGAGATGAGCTATTGGCCAGCTTATGATTCGCCTCAATGGACCGCGACGTCTTACGGTAAGTCGAAATTTGTTTGAACGCTGTTGTGTGAACACATAATTCTTCGAAATCAGCGACGAAACGGGACAGCCGTAGTGATGAAGATGATTTCAGCTCCATCCGAAACACAGTCGTCAATAGGCGATGTGAACCAGCTGGGTGGTTTCTTCGTGAATGGGCGCCCTTTACCGATGGCTTTGAGAGTTCGCATAATCGAACTTCATCGTTCGGGTATTAGACCGTGCGACATTTCACGGCAACTACGAATCAGTCACGGATGTGTCAGCAAAATTCTCAGCAGGTGAAACCGCTTCTAATTTTTCAAGACTCTCTTGTAGGGTAGCATCATGAAGTGCCTTATCAAAAGGGGGTAGGAGCTATTGTGTGCGATAAAATAGCCACTCGTCATGTTTCCCATAGGCGTTTCTATACCATCGGTAAGAAATGGAGTACTATCGAATACATATTACCATTGATTGTCATGCTCGGTACGTACTGTGGCTCATAATACCAGAGTGAGACCGTGGAACATGGTCTTATCTTTATGAACTAGTGCTGGGAAATTTAGCCGGAAGGATAGAAAGACTGTTGGGAGCGGTATTTCCTCCTCCAAGTCTCAGTTACTGTCATGAAAGGCAGTAAGAATATACAATTGCCAAAATAACGTCTTTGTAGTTCCTCAGAACAGGAAAGCCCAGACCTAAGTTCCCTCCTCCTACAAGACTGTTTCGGTGTTAGAGAATATGCCTATTCAAGATAAAAAGCCTCTGATCCTTTGGAAACCACTGTAAAGGCGTGCATACTTTTCTAACTTTGAGATGGTCAGTTGGAAGAGGGCTTTCGAAAGGAGCTGACAAATTAAAGCAAAGTTTATGGTCCCCAGAAATCCTTAATTCATCACGGCTAGATGAATTGTGTAGTTTTCAAGCCAGCAGAAGGCGCCTCCTTACTCTGGTGGGAACGCTCTGATTCTCAAGCGCTACAGTGGTTTTAGTCACCATGATGGCGAATACTATCCGTATAATCAATGAGTGCTTAAGTCAGGGGAATTCTCCAGTAGCAAATGGATTGATATTGATTACATCGTTGTTCCTGTTGTTCATCTGAAACATTGAAGGTATGCACAACGCGGCACCTTCTTTAGCCATTGCGTCATGCGCCCCATCAGATAAAGGAAATCTACTGCAAGTTGTTCCAGGTACGTGGAAAGAGGATCGATCGAACCGGGTACAATCGGCGGAAGTAAGCCTCGGGTTACAACTCCAAAGGTAAGATAGTGAAATAATAACCTTTTCTGCATCTCATAGAACAGTGCTGTTTAATTGAAATGCGAACAAAATTATTTTCAATGGACTATTCTCTAAGATTTTCCTATCCGATTCCTCTCCCTTTCAGGTGGTCGAGTACATTCGTCTATTGAAATATTCAGATCCAGGAATTTTTTCATGGGAAATTCGTGATCGACTTGTGAATGACGGCATTTGTAGCAAAGATAGCGTGCCTTCCGTAAGCAGTATAAGCCGTATTCTACGCAGTAAAACGCCTAAAGGTAGGAGGCGCAGCTTTAGGCTTTAACCATCCTCCTCATCCAATATAGTTTTGGCATTGGCCTTGTAACTTATCACCCAAAAGAACTTACCAACTTCCCCCCACTGTGCTGAGAGAAAAGTGATGCCATGGGTTCCCGTTGGAAAACTCAGTCATAAGGTAGCTAGAAATCTTCGATCTCTCAGAATAGTGCCTTTTTCACTAAACAAAACATTGCCATTAACGCTGAGCGAATTTCCTTCCTTTCTTCCTTCCACTATGTTCTATCATAGGTCTGCACCAATGTACATGGGTATGTTTGTTTTGGTGCTTGGGGCAGTGAGCGTATTTCCGCAAATAACTGGGACAGCGATTAGGATGTCCTCTTTTTTAGCTCCTTCTTGAAGCTTACATTACTCCTATTCATTGCCTGAATTTTTCAAGGCCTGGAATCTCTGCCATTCCTACCGTATCCGAAATGTCCCCCACCGCAGAATATCGCCTTCCAAATGCAATACGGCCAACCTGACTTCAATTTCAGTGAGTTTTGAACGGATTTTTTTCTCATTCATCTGAAAATTTTATATTCAACCAAAATAAGATTAGGTGAAGTACTTGGGACCAAACAACTTGGGACCTTTCGGGATAAGTCACACATTTGTTTTTAGCTAAAAACCGTTGATGGGTCTGTAAACGTGCAAGGTCTGCACGGTGAGTTCCATGAAAGCCAACTTTCAGATCAAAGCTTCTATAAGTTAGACCGACAGGATTCATTTGAGCTAAAAGGAAGTCAGTTTTACCTGGTGGGAAGCTCATCATACAGATCAGTACGTCCGAAGAGTATCTGCTGAGAAATTCACTAGAGTTCAGATGCAGACAATACCTAAAGAGTTCTGGGTGTTTTCTCAGAAAAGCTAGAAAAGGACCCTTATTAAATAGTTGTCTGCTCATAGAATATTTGAAGATTCCATGAAAGAGCAGTGGGCTTACCATGTACCGGCTCATCTTCCACACTTTGGCTGCACTTTGAAACATTGGTTGAGTCCCTCGAAGGAGTTAAAAAAGATGACATAAGCCCCATAGGCTCCAACATCGGTGAATGGAACTTGAAAAGAAGTAAATGCTATGGGACAGTGCTGCCATTGTTGGGTTAATGCTTAATGCGACCACTTTCGATCAAGGTCCGCTGGTGAATAAAGTATAATACATGAACAAATAAAAAGCTTTTGAAGATTCGATTAGAGGATGTGGCCAGCTCGACAACCAAATGTGTACTTCTACCCAATCCTGAGTAGGAGCTGGAACTTAACGCGGTATGCGTGTGCTCTTGTCGCTTTTTTGTATGCTCAATCTTACTTTGACATACCTTCAGATATTTATTGGATGTGTCAACTAAGTTATTGGCTGCTTATTATCTTATTTTGTTCGTTTTCTATTATGTAATGAGTTAGCTTTACTGCTCCTACGGCTTTACCAGAAAACGGCTTCAAATCTCTTATTCTCCTATCTTTCCGTGCAACTACAATGTTCTTGATCAACTTACAGTGATAGATCGAATGAAGTATTTACATTTTTGCCGATTTTTGATTATGGTTAGCACGTGGTGCTTTTATTTATGCAATTTCATGTACATTGCTGCAACGTGTAGAACTTTCTCAAAATAAAGGTTTTCCTTCTGTTAGTTATTTCAAAACGAGTTCACATATCAATAGAGAACGGGAGACGGGCAGTAGGAACCGTTTTGTGTGATCGATCGGCCGCACGCGGCTGTCGCGGACCATTTGCCTCGTTATGACTTTTCGAGCGTTCTCCATACAGCTCAATCGCTATGCGGTTATTACTTATGGCATGATTTCACTGTTAGTTATTTTGTTCCTGAATTCCTTACTTGCTATTGCATTCTGCTACACTCCTTTGCACGCGGCGTCTCTCTCTCCGCGACGCGACAATTTCGTTCCTACTGCACCATAACCGTAGAGAACAGAGCGCCGGTCCAGTTCGAGGTGAGTATATGAGGCAGGAGCCAAGACAGGCATTACGTCATATACAGTAGCGCTTAAAAATATTCGATGGACCACATCGTTTTGGTCATAAGTTTTTTGTGTGAATTGAGCTAAACATAGTACTATAATAATATTCGATTATACAAACGGTACGGAGCATCGGTAAGGTACTCGGTAGAATAAATCAAGCAACTCTTTTTTCTGTTCATGGTTTTTTTTGGCTCCCTACTCTGTAACAGCAGTGTGATTAAGATATATAGATAGGAATATCTGAAATTTACCGAGAGCAATGATTTCAGAAGAACCATTCAATCACAAAATAGCTACTCAGGAAAAGCTTGGAAGGGTCGTCATTTGGTTGGAATTAAAATTTGAGATATATAAGAGCTAGATCGGCCGTGTGTATCGACGTTCTCCAATTCATAGGGTGCATTCACGATACTCGACTCGTGCTTCTTATGTGCAGCGATACATGGACCATCCGGTACAACAGTGTGCATATAATCGGAGTATGGCGATAGGACCATGCTAGAGAAATCGGCCACTGCACTAGCTGCCACTGAAACCTTTAGCCAGTTGGTCTGACGCTTTGCTTAGCATTCTGCTCTTCTTTTTCTCTTTTCTTTATGTCCTATTTTTGGACGCGTCGTCCACAAAATCCCTGTATAGCCCAGGTCGTTGTTCGGGTCGGACTAACCATAAGTTCAGTCGCAGGGTCCGCGCTCTTGTGAGTTGCCGCTTCTTCTATCTATCCACTAAATCTTCTGCGTTACCTTAGCTTCGAAATGGTCCATGCTCACTACGTCCCTCCATCTCTACTTGGGGCTCTACGCCATCACTTTCATTCAGCTTCAAACTTCTTTTTCTCTTTTGATGGGTTTTACTGTGGTTTTTTGGCACGTCTCCATACCATCGCAGGCTTTCCCTCTCATGTTTAGCTGATCGGCTGCTTTCATAGTCCGCCGGCGGACTAAGACGCCGGCACGCCGGCGGAGTAAGACAAACAGTCCTCGCCCCTTCGAAGGTTGTTTGTTTTCAACCCCTCGAAGGGGCGTGGACTGTTTTCCTATCTGTCTGCCACCCTCCTCCCCGCTAGCACTGCCTCCGCCGGCTCGCACGCCGGCACGCTCGCCGACACGCCGGCCGGCCGGCGGACTATGAAAGCAGCCATCAGGAATTATTTACATGACCGTCCTGTTGTTTGAGGTTCTGATCTGATTGAACAGAGTTCATCCGTAAACCTGAACGAAACATTTAGCGGAGTGAAGCTACTCCTTGCGAGCTAGCTTTAGTTACCGAAGGGCATCATGGGGATCACCACTATAACGTGCACCTTTTTTTGAGGGATCTGGAGCGCCGTCGGTTGCAGAGAATACTAGTGGGCTTCCTCCAATCCATCCATATCGAATATATCCTCGATCAAATAGCTTAGGTGCTCAAAGACGTTTTGTGGTCAGAGCACTTCCAAGGGTAGGTTGTTGGACGTCTTCTCCAGATCGAGAAAGCTAGTTGGTCAACTTTCCCTCGTTACTGCTGTTTTTATGAATACGCCATCCTTGTAGAACTTTGGGGCATGAATTTCTTGATGTCCTTTACAGTTTTATGGGGCAATCTTCTTGCGAGTTTGCCGATTTCCGTTTGCCACTCTGGTCACTGTTGTTATCATCTGAAGTTCTCTATTTGTGAGAAAGGTACCGTAACAGGCGTGGACTGCATGAGTCAAGAACCCTTGCTCCTTCTTCGCTGCTGGTTCCTATTCCCCGATATCATTGACCCCTCCACCGTTCTCTGCCAACCTGGATTTTCTGATTGCCCGCTGTAATGAGGCCTCTTGAGGCTCATATTAGGATTAATTTCCCTGTACTGGTCAGCCAGAGCGCGGTATGTACGAGGATAAGCGGTGCGTACAAGGATACTCTCTTGCTTCGCAGCCCTTACTCGACATGCAAACAACTGGTGCCTTCTCCTTTTAAAAGTACGGTTCATCATCATGTCGTGGTACTGAGTTCTAGACGAATAACATAATAGTGCGGAAGTGGACAAGAACACGCCAAGATCGGCTTATTTTGACAAATAATCGCTTCAAAAAAACGTAAAATTTGAGGTTGGACGAGAATGTGACGACAAAAGTTGCATGGTAGAGGTGTTCAGACGAGCTGTCCAAATATGTGGTGTCGCAACCAGCTGGCTACAGAAAGCTGCCGGCGCGCATTGTATGGGTCCCGATGTGAATATGTAGTACAACCTCAGCCATGAGAACTCGTCCACTTTTTTAAGAAGTCGGCTGAGCCGGTTTTGGAGCCCCTATCATGTCCCATTCAGTCCAACAGCGTTCCTTGTGCTATCCCTGGGGGCTCAGGGGAATCTCAGGTAAAGTCTCAGGAATCATTTTTATCGCGAACTTTAAAAAGAGCTTCAAAAACCGCAGAAATTTGAGCGGCTCTCTGAGCCACTTTCCGACCATTTCTTGTAGAATCTGTCTGGTAAAGAACTCGACTTCGTCGTAAACTCGTGACTTTTACGAGTGAGACATGAAAATGCTCTCTTTCGTCCTTGAGCTCCTGCCTCCCTCGAACTTCACTGTGCAAATTCTGACCCCAAGAGGTTCCTCATAGTCAGGAGTTTCTTCCAGTCTCCGCAGCGTAGCATGAAGTCGTTGCCCGGTCAAAGCACTCAGCGATTAGAAGGTCATACCGACGATGACGACGCCTTTTCAAACCAATCCTTCGAAATCCCTTCAATCGAAGTCGTCGAACGGTATTTCCAGATTTTTTAGTTTGGGAAATAACCAGAAGTTATCCGAAATTGAAAGTTGGTGCGTACTATGATCGCAAAACGATATACGTCGAGATTGTAGCGAAATGCTTGCGAAGGATCAGTACTACAATTGGGGCGTAGCATTATCGCCAAGCAAAAATCAGAGGTTGTCTTTTCATGAATCTGGCTCCTTTGGCTTCTATCTACAAACTTCACGCAGGCGTCTGTTGGCATTCAGATAATGTTGTCCTGTTACTCGTTGGCTCTGCGAAAGGGTTCCGCAATGCACGTTGCCACGATATTCGAGCAGTACCAAACACCACTAGAGCTTTTAAAGAACTTCTCTCGATTGCTTTGGCATCACCCTTCCTTTACCACGTTATTCGTTCCACTGTGAGATGTATTTAAAGGCACAGTTCAGGAAACAGTGGTTTCGGAGATTTGCACATGGTTTGAATTCGAAGCCCCCTCTGATACCATTTGTGCAGGAATTAGGTCGGAATACAGTCTGGATAGGCACAATAAGGGCAGGAACAGTGGGGGACGAGAGGCCTCCGCCTCTCGCTAGGTTGACTACGAGTTCAAATTGTCCTTCACCACTTTCGC